CCTTTTGCTGTATTATAGTTAATACTTTATTTGTTAGTGTTTATTGAGTTTTAGTAATATACCTTAATCTTTGAAGAAATTTATATTTTATCATGCACTAATCTTCTGAATACAGACAACTGATGAGTTTTCCATTTTATTCACAATTTCTTAGGCATATATTGTCAAGAGGTATTAAGATAACATTTCATTAAGCGGGGATTAACTGGACTAGTTGAATATATTCTCTCTCCTGCTATTACTTAGCATCCTTTCCTCTTTGGAAATTCTTAGCTCTCTGATTGTACCACATTCTGCTGAGCCTCATCACAGCTTAGAAGTGAGGCTCTCTCCTTTCTCCACAACTTTTAACAAGTTGATCATTGAATAGAAATCAAAAAGGTTTTCATCCCTACCTTGCTCCATGCCATCATTGTGAGTGATTTTAATGTCCATGGAAAACATGTTCTTCATCCTTGTAACTTAGATCCATGAGCTAGATGACACAGTGAATCTCAGAGTACTGGACTAGGAGACAGAAGCTGTGAGTGCATATCTGGTCTTAGATACTCGATGTGTGACATTGGACAGGTCACTTAACCTCTGCCTCAGTTTCCTTATCTGTAAAATGGAAGTAATAATGGTACTTCCCTCATGGAGTTACTGTGAGAATTAAATAAGAGAATATTTGTTAAGTTGTAAAGGTTTTTTAGGATAACAGTTGGCCCCTACCCTAGAATCTTTCCTTTTTTAGCCTTCTGCATTTTTCTCTCTTGCCAGCCTGTTCCCCTGAACAGCCTCCACCTTGTTTTCAGAGGATCATAGCTTTAAAGGTAGAAGGAACCACAGAAGCCATTGAATCCAACCCTTCCTTTTACAGATATGGAATATGAAGCGCAAAGAAATTAAATGACTTGCCCAGGGATCCCAGGTTTTCCTGATTCCAAATCCAGTGCTCTATGTATTATGTCATCCTGCCAATAGTAATAACTAACATCTAAGTAGTACATTAAAGTTTGTAAAGTGCTTTACATGTGAATCATTTGTGTATATTTTATATAAATTACATATACATACAAATTCTACACACAACATGTGTATGTGTATAATTGACTCTCACAAGAACTCTAATAATAGCAGGTGCTATTACTCACATTTTATAGATGGGGAAATTAAGACTAATTAAGTGTCTGAGGTAGGACTCAAACTCTAGGCTTTCTGAAGTGGAGCAGTTATCCACTGTTCCAACTGTTTGCTTTCAGTCCTGGCTTCGGGAGTGTTGCTAGGGAAAAACAACAATAATAATAACACAAAACTCTGGTTACTGATCTGCTACAAATTTGTCTTATTTCATTTCTTTGTTAATTCATTTCTTACTGGTACTGTTCAAAAACATTTCCATTCTAATTATGTAATTCCACCTCTGACACCACTCAAACTTCAACCTTTCTAAAATTCTTACAAAAAAATGTATTGGCACTCAGATAAAGTTGATTTGGTTCATTACTGTGATGACTGATTTAGAGCTAAAAGGGGTTTTAGGGAATCTTCTAGTCCAAGCCCTTCCTTTTACAGATGGAGAAACTCAGTCCCCAAACACTCAAGTGACTTGCCCCTTATCACAGAGTAAATGACAAAGCCAGGATAGGCTATCAGGCTTGCCACTACCTCCTCATACCTTTCTGGCTTTGGGTTTGATTCCATTTTCACCATCAACATTCTGTGAATTCCATGAGAGCTTAATTCTTGAGACATTTGGATTTCAAGTCCTGAATGAATACTAATAATTTTCTATTCTTATTAAAAATAAAAAAGACTACTGTTTTAATTATTCTTTTCCTGGAGATAGATTTGTAATTACCTTATACTTTACAGGATCAGTATAGTAACATTATTTAAAAAAAAAAAAGATCTTAATGAATGTTATTTCCCCTAAGTATTTGGGAACTAATGAAAGTCTAAATTTGTAAAGGTATCTGTCACAGTAAAGATAGTAAATTTGGGGGTTGGAGGGGTGAGAACAATCAGCCAACATTCAAAGATAAACACTTTAAAAGCTACTTTAAACTCCTGTAAATGGTACAAAAAGGGACAGGGCTTCCTGATGATTTACTACATTAAGAAATTAATTCTGCATTCCCAGTGGACAGAGACAAGAATTACAGCTGAAACCTATTCCACTTCCAAAATCTGTGGCTACTTGTGGCTAATTGCTTGGAGTATCGCAATGGTGTTTTTTCATAAAGTAGAAAGTTAACTTTAGCATTTAGGGAACTCTCTTTGTACACAGTAATCTTGGATGAACGAGAACCCAGTGGTAAATTTGGAGCATAATGAGGAGGTAGTGAAAGAACAGTGTGTTGCTGCACTTAAATGATGAGTCTGATTCTCCACCCTGTAGAGCAGAGTTCAGACTTCTGTGATGCCACAGATTTTCACACAAAAGTAAAGAGGAAGTTGCATGAAGAGCAAAGAATGAAAGAATCAGAGAATTTTATGACTGGGAGGGGATCTTAGAGAAAATTCAGTCTCATATCCTCATTTTACAGCTGAGGAAACATTCCTAGACAGAAGACATGACTTATCCAAAATCACACAGGTAGTATTTGACTGGGATTTGAGCTGAACTCTTTTGAATTCAAATCTTGTGTTATACAATGCATTGCATTGCATGAACTCATATATGGGCTAAAGAAGTTATAAGTTCACTTGAAGATTAGCCTAGATTCCTGAATAGGTTAGGATGAAACCTACAGTATACCAGAGCCCCTGGGAAAACCCCAAAACCAAATAGAGGGTGATTATCCAGGGCTGGATGGACTGATCAAATGCTAGTGATTTGTCCTTCAGATTTCAAATAGTCCTTGTTCTGAGGAGAACATTGTTTTGGAAGATATGTGGCATGGTATCATCTAAATGATTATTTAAATAAAATTGGATCTTTCCAGAAAATAATAAATTTATTAATCAGTCTAGAGACTAATTTAAAGACTAGATAAGAAAATCATATCTCTTGTGGCATTTCAAAAGTTAAAGACAATTTTGGGGTAATTAACAATTTTATTAATAATACTAGCATTTTAATAAAAGGTCTACGGCACTCTTGCATGCCAAAGACAATCATGGTGGTGGGCTCAGAGCAATCAACTCTGGTTAACAATTAATGAGAAAATGAATATTACAATGAAGGGCTAAGAGTGAAGTGTCACTAGACTATCTCTATATCCAGATCACCCTCAGCCTTGGGCAGTCTAGACAAAAGGATCTATCTCCACCCAAGCTTAGTTGAGTGGCATTCCTTGTAGTGTTAGGTGGGGTCTAACCTAGATTAGGGAGAGTTAATTCAATGTCCTTCAAGAAACTGAACTTTGAAATGAAGATGATAAAAAAAGGGGAACTCTGGATCTCCCCAATCATTGGTTATTAATAATAATTTCTTTTATAATATATTCACCTAAATAACTAATGATTGAACCTCTCTGTACCTCTTCTGGAAAAGGTAGAGAGACATGGAATGGATGATAGTAAAAGTAGATAGATTTGAAACTAGTTGAACTGGACTCAATAGTCTTTCATGATTCAATGTCAAGTCAAAGAAGCACTGGTTCTGAAGTCAGATGACCTGAGTTCAAATACCACCTCTGCCATGACTTTTGTAATCTTGACAAGTCGTTTAACCTACCTTAAGTCTCAGTTTTCTTCTTTGTAAAATTAGGGTATTGAACTAGAGGCCATTTAAGGTCCTTGACATTAGGGGACCTGGGTGGAATCCTGGCTGTCAAGCTTTCAGGCAATTCACTTTGCCTCCCAGAATTCATTTTCCTCATCTGTAAAATGAGGAAATTGGACTGAATGACTCCAGGTCCCTTCTGGCTTTAAAGCTAGGGATCCCAAGAAGTTGTCAGGAAAGCTCCAGTGAAGAGACCCAGGGATCTGTGCTTACCCCTTTACTATTCAGTATTCTGATTAATGGTTCACAGTGAGAGGATTAGTATTGGTGGAGTAGAAAGGTAACTGGCCTTAAAGCTGAGAAAACTTGGGTTTAAGTCTTGCCTCTGACATACACTGGCTGGGTGATAGTAACAAGTCACTAAGCCTCCTAGTTCTTTGAGCAAATCTATGAGTCAAGGTTGCAGAGAAGGTACAGACCTGCAGGGGAAGAGAGTTTCTTCATCCAGGAGTTCACTGGGACCACCAGAATCACAGGCCCATCCCTCAATCTTCTCTCATTGACACAGATAAAGACAAAGATGACATGCTTTTGAAATTTTCAGACGACCTATAATCTGATATCAGGATTCCAAAAGAGGAAATCAACCCAGAGAAGATCTGCTTTAGGATAAGTGCAAAATCCAACATTTGGGTTCCCCAAATCAGCCTCAAATATATGACAAGAGAGGCATTGCTAGAATAAGTTGTCTGAAAAAGATATGGGGCTTTGGTGGACTGACAGGTTACTAGCTGATTCAACAATGTGACCTCACATGTGGACATGAGCACAGCTTCCAGGAATAAAGAGGTTGAGAGTCACCATGTAGTCTGCCCTGATGTGATCATATCTGGAGCATCCTGAGTGACATCAGTAAGCTAACAAGCCTCCAGAAGAGAGCCAGAATGGTGCCAACCAGGATGAGCCAGTCCCATTTGAGGCTTATCTAAAGGAACCAGGGAAGATGTTTAGACCTTCAGGGTGATAGGATTGCTATCCTTAAGTTTTTGAAGGGCAGTCATGTTGGAAAAGGGATTTGATTAATTGTTTGGTCCCAGGTAGTAGAGCAAGAAAAGAGACCACATTAGGCTTGATGTGAGGAGAAACTTCCTGTCGGAGCTCTACATAAATGGAAGGGGCTGTCTTGAGAGGCAGGAGGGTTCCTCTCACTGGGAGTTTTCAAACAGATGCTACCACTGATGATCATTAGCTATCACAGGGAGAATTAATTTTTATGCATTGAATGTACTAGATGACTAGTGAGGTCCCTTCAAACTCTAAAGTTCTATGAATTTTTGATTCTGTACCTCAGGCTTGAGTCAGCCACACGTGGACTGTGCTGTTGGACCTACCAGAGGACATCCCATCACCACCACCTGCCGGGATTAGGCCTTGCATCTCCAGAGCTGGGTTAGAACTGGACTGGCCTTGAGTAGGAGGTGAGGTAAGAACATGTTGGCTTTTGTGTACAGATTAATCACATGAGCTATGATTAGCAGGGCATGCATTTTCTACTAGTGGTTTTGGATTTAAACTGATTGATCAACACTCACAACCAATGGCACATATTTGACCCACAACTGGTTTGCGGTTAAGGCTAATAGCTAATTGGCTTACAAAGAAATCAACCAAGCATCAGCACTAACTGAATCGATGATGAATAAGGACTATGATGATAATAATAATAATAATAATAACTCTCTTTATACAACAGGTTTCAGTTCACAAAGCACTTTCCCCTGTGAAGTTAGTATTATTATACCCATTTTACATATTAAAAAGTGGGAGCTTATGAAGTGAAGAGACTTATCTAAGGTCACAAGGTCATAAAGGTCAGCTGGAACTTTACTCAGTTCTTCAGGTTCTTTATCCATATTTCCACTACACTTTTGAACTGAAGGAACATATAGTTCCATAAAGTACTTTATAAATTGTAATAAACAGTCTTGTTTTTAGATAGAACTTAACATGAAACATACTTCTTTTTGGCAGATAGGGCAGAGGACTGTGGATGTTGAACAAGGTAAAAACCATGATCAGCTATGGTCACTGTGTCATTTGACTTTAAGTGTTTTTCTTTATGACAAGAAAGGGCAGTGATTAAGGGAAGTTACTGTGGTATAAAAAGAAAAAGCAACAATAATTTTTTTAAAGGCATTGTCCCAAATGTAAAGTATTAAAAGGCCCTACTAGATCAGAGATCTAGAATCTCTGGAGATCTTGGACCAAGGTTAGACCTTCATAAAATGAATCATTTAGTTAAAAGTAGCAACTGCTAGTAGGGCCTGCCACTTTTCTTTTATCTCAGACAAGACCTCTTTATCTTCTCAAGAACTACCTTCAAGGGCCACACTGTATTTGAAATGGCATTTGAACCTAGTCTTTTATCTAAGCCACTACTTCATACTGCCAGCCTCTTCTTAACTCCACTCTGTTCCTTACCCCAGACCTAGCACAGGGATCTGTATATAGTAAGCAACAGATACTTGTTTTTGAATTCTTCAAACTAAAGAAGCAGAGTCTGCAATGTCCAAGTTGGACTATAGGAATTCTAAAGTCCTTTCCAGCTCTAAATCTATGATCCTATGATCCCTTGACAACGCATTTCAGTGTCTTGTAATCTTTAAGGTCAGAAAATTCTTCCTAAAATTTGGTTTAGCCCTTCTTGCTGCACCCTAAATTGAGAAGCCTCTTTTTTCCTTCAATCTCTGGAAATAAAAGAAAATGTCAACACCATCTTAAAATATTATATAGATTTCATATATTTGAAAAGTGATCCACGTAACTCTTCCTCCATGGGATAAGCATATCCACAAAGGAGTGTTTTTCTTCTTTATTATCCCCTTGATTTTCACTTAGCATTGAATTTGAAAATACCAAATGGAATATAGTTCCCTAATAATTAGGCTTGGCTAATGTTGTGCATGGTAGTTGTTTTGTATTGCTATAACTCAGTCTTTTAAAAAAGTGCATTTTCAGGGTGGCATAATTGATGGCTGTATATGGAACTCAACATAGAACTAATAAACACATTTACTTAGTGCAATTTTTAAAGAGCATCAAACTGGAAATTCCCATTGTAACTCTAGTGCGCAGGAGTCTTGGACTTGCATTCCACTTTGCTCAGGCGAGTTAATTCAATTCTGTTTCATTCTATTAAAAGTTTAAGAATTAATTAGAGGAGGGCAAATCACAGCTTCTGATCTTTCTATTAAATCAGTCGCAATGATGTTTGTCTGTGGATGAACAATCCAAGCACTGACCATGAAAAACATGGAGAAAATTGTGAATGAGACTGCAGAGAACACTCTTAGCAAAGTTGCATGGATTAAAAATTCAATTTGAGCTAAACTTCAACTCAAATGTCTCCAACACTATTATCAAATTGACATCTGTTATTGGCCTCTACAAGAGGACTCTCTGCAAGATGTGATGTGCCCCCTGGTGGTATTGTAATTAATCCAATCAAAGACTTACTTGCAGAGTATCAAAATAAACACAACAGGGTTGATTGGATAGACAAGAGATGTGGCACCTTCTTTCATATCTTTATTTTGTGCCTGTAGTTTGATGACATTGTTTTAACAATCTTCATTAATGCAATGGCCTATGTACCCTTATTTTTAAGAAATGAATTGTGATGTACAATAGCAAGCATTCTTATTTTCTCATTTCATTCAGTGACATTAGGTTTCTAGATTCTCAAAAGCAAGAATATGACTGAGGTTCTATAAAAAAGCACTATATAGTAGAAGGAGACCTGGAGGTTCAGGTCCCAGCCATATTTCCCCTGGGGCCTTGGTCAAGTCACTTAACTAACCTCTCCTCTTGAATGAAGGGATTTAGCTAAATCACCTCTCAGGTTCCTTTCCATTCTAAATTTGTGATCCTACAAGTCACTTAATTTTTCTAGGCTGCAGTTCATTTATTTTCAAAATTTTGAGGTTGGATGAAGTGATTTCAAATAACCCTTCTTGTTCTAGATCCTAGGATTTGCTAAAAATCTAGAAAGCATTACAATAAACTTACAAATTTTACTTCTTCTGTTCACTTGGCAAAGTCTTCTTGTTCTTCGTTCCTCAACCGGTCTATTTGTTTAGTTGAGTTTTATCATAAGAACACTGCAAAGCCCAACCTGAAATATTATGACTAGTGCCTAGTTATCTAGGATACGGAAAGCAGTAATACAATGATGTAGCAATATGGAAGAAGCTCTCTGTAGAGAAAAGACTAACTGCAGATCATGTAGCGGTACCATTAATTTTAGAGGTGGAAAGGCCTAGGTTCTGTGTTTTCAATCAATCAATTAACAAACATTTATTAAACATCTATTGTATGCCAGGCACTATGCTAAACACTGTATTTCTTCCTAAGATGTTTGAGAATTCACATGCAGAAGAAAAATAATCAAAATGTTAAATTATATAAGGTTGAGAGTTGATATGGTCACTGGTGAAAGTGACCCCTTCCCCCAAATCCCTTTTAGCTCTATTAGCCCTAGCCCCATAGCCATCTTTGCTCTTTTAGCATCATTAATAAAGTTTTCCTTCCATAAACTATTTTTGCTACATTTAAATATACATAAGTAGATTTTTCTCCATCTCAAAAAGTTCTACCTAATCCACTCTTGTTATCTTAAAACTATATCTCTCATCTCATTCAATTCACTTGAACAAGCATTTATTAAGTACCTATTATATGTTAGCTACTGGGCTTGCAAAAACAAAAATGCCACAGATCTTTCTAAAAGTCTGTTAGGAAAAAACAGGTACACAGACAATTAAATATAAAAGTTAATTTCTCAAGAGAGGGCACACATAGGTCTAATAGAATGGGAGCTCCAGAGGACACAGTGGAAGTGCTGGGTAGTGTTCAATAGGAGTGATCTGCACAGTTATAAGGGAACATTCTGAGAAGTTTCTGTATTCTTTTAAAATTAAATAGTAAATAAATCAGATTCTGGTTTACTTTATCCCCTTCCTCATTCATATCCAAACTTTACAAACAATCTGTATATTAGTACTGTTTCTATACCCCCTTCCCTGTCTTTTTCTTCTTGATTCCTTTAATTTCTACTGGTAGACACCAGATCTGTCTTCACAAAGACAACCTCTTTGTGGCCCAGATCTTTCTTATCCTCTCCAACTTTTCCTCAAGATTTGATCTGATTTGGAACTCTTTCTTCCTAATTTTTATGTCCTCTTCTCTTTGTTCCTCATAATATCCACCTTCCCTTGGTTCCCAACACAGAAAGGACAGATGTGAAGTTATACAAGCTGTCATTCCTGACATGGACATTGCTTAGAAAATGAAAGTGACTATTCTATAGATTATTTGGGAGAGATAACATTTTTGAAAAGTGGCAGACAATATATGTTGAAAATAAAATATTGAATTGGTAACAGGCATTTTTAGACTCCTCACTTAAAAAACAAACAAATAAAAAAAGGAACATGTAAAATGACCTTCTAAGTTTTAAGTTTTTTTGAGAAACTCACATAGCAGAAATCAGCAAATAATAATCCTAGTCATAAGAGAAAAGAAGAGAAAAGACCACCCACAATGGAGAATACTCAGACTCGTTCATCTAGAGATAAAATTAAGCAAAATAATTGAAGTTGCATATCTTTAATTGGTAGCTCAGGGTTTAAAGCTAATGACTTTGTAAACAAGGGGCTATAAGTTCAACTGCCATTGAGGCCTGAAGCTATGACAATTTTTTGATAGGTAGCATGGGAAGAGTACTAGATTTGTAGCCAGAACAACTAAATTTGAATTCTATCTTCTCAATCTACCAACTTTACCACATTAGATAAGTTACTTCACCTGAGACTCATTTTTCCCACCTGTAAAATAGGGTAATAATAATATTTAAATGTAATATAGTTGATAAAACATTGAATTCTAAGAAATTTATTTAACCTCTCTAAGCCTCAGTTTCCTCTTTTGTAAAATGAGAAGGAAATTTATAAGGTCTCTTTCAATTCCAAATTTTACAGTATGAACCCACCTCATTTGATTATTGTGAGAATCAGGTGAGGTAAAGTGCTTTGTAACTGCATGTACTATTTACATGTAAACAGTTATTATTGTCTAACAGTGGAGTTCAGAATTATCTCCTAAAAGGTGGGGGATAGGGAAATGAAGAAAAACATCTGTGATCTGATACTTTTCATACCAATGTATGGATCAAGTTGTGGATCAAACTGCTGTTTCCTAATCAAGAAGTCAACATAAACTCTGAAAATGTGTGTTTAAGTGTGACTAATTGGTAATGGATTGCATATTTTCATGTTAAGGTTGTCATTGTTAAAAAGTGACATTGCATGTGATCAGAGTCAATGGCTGCAAGTGTGTCCTTACAATCCATGAAAGAGTCCAGTGTTTGCAGATACTTATGATCCCATGACGACATAGTCTGGTGGAAAGCAGTTTGGGCCAGGA